ACCTGACCCAAGCCATGGTATTTTCATTAACCTCATAAGCATGCGAAAGCTGGACAGTAAATAATGAAGACCTTAGAAGAATTGAGGCTTTTGAGTTATGGTGTTAGAGGAGAATATTGAAAGTATGCCATGGGCTGCCAAAAGAACAAACAGATCTGTGTTGGAAGAAGTATAGCCAGAGTGCTCTTTGGAGGCCAGGATGGCCAAACTTCATCTCTCATACTTAGGACATATTGTCAGGAGGAACCAGTGGCTAGAGAAGGATATCATGTTTGCTAAAGTGGAGGGTCAGAGAAAAAGAGGAAGACCCCCAACGAGATGGATTGGCCAAGTGGCAGCATCAATGGCCTCAAGTGTGGCAACAATTGTGAGGTTGGCCCAGGACCGGGCAGTGTTTTATTCTGTTGTGCATAGGGTCGCTATGAGTCAGTACCAACAACAACAAACTTTGAAGAGGCAGTTCTCCGCTAGATGCATTTTGAGTACCTTCCAACCTGTTGTTGTTATTAAGAGCTGTTGAGTTGGTTCTGACCCATTGTGACCCTGTATAGGGTTTCTGAGGAGCAGCTGGTGAGTTTGAACCCCCAACCTTACAGTTCAAATGGCTTTGCAGTCTGGTGCATTAACCCACAGCGCCACACCAGGACTCCAAACTGAGGTGCTCATATTTCCAGCACTATATCTGACAATCTCCTGCTGCTATTCATAAGGTTTTCAGTGACTATTTAAAAGCTCAGCTGAAACCTGTCCACCATGGGTGACCCTGCTGTATTTAAAATATTGGTGGCATAGCCTCCAGCATTGCAGCAACATGCAAGCCACCACAGTACGACAAACTGACAGACCAGTGGGCAGTTGGAACTGGTGGTTATTATTATTCCCCTCATTTCACTTCTGGGTTAAAGATGAGCTGCTAAATGCAAGATTGTAGTTCAAACCCACCAGTCGATCCTTGGGAGATAGATGAGGCTATTTGTTCACACAAATGTACAGTTTCAGAAACCCTAAGGAGGACTTCTACTCTGTCCTTTAGGGTTGCTAAAAGTATGAATCAACTCAATTGTAATGGGGTTTTCTTTTCTGTCTCTGCCCCCTGTC